ACCTGCACAACAAAATGTGTAAAGCATAAAACCTTACACAAGGACACTGAATAAATTTAGGGTCATGAAATTTATGTTTCCAACATAATGCGGCAGAGCGACAGTGGAAAACAAATTTCTTTGACATTCTCGAAGTGTCCTGGATCTTTGGTAAATAGCCACCTACGAACCATGTGTGTCAAACAGCTATTTCTTTGAAGACCGGTGATGATAACTGATTTTGAATAAGGCTTACGCTTATTAAAACTTCCGTTTTGTTCCTTGAAGGTGACCGCTAAAATACGTTGGCGTTCCCTGAACGTGAACTTGTGTACCAAGTGCAACAGCCTATCGCATCGCCAGTTATATTTAACGGAAAAAATCAATAGTCACTAACTCCAAAAACAATCGAATATTCAATACTTTTAAAAGACAAATTTTAATATTTCTGTGTTTCCAAGGTTTTGTCGATAATAAAGCACTTAATTCTACAATGTACGTTTCAGGTTTTCTTCAAAAAACCAGAAAGAAAAAGTAAAGGAAAGAAAATCCTTTACATGGTCTGATACGGTTAATTCTACCACAAAAGTTTACGTTTCTTTCAGACAATAAGAACACCGTTGGTATAAAAAAAACTTCACGTTTATAAAAATATTAATGAATAGTTTATTTTATCAGTAACATTTCCTGTTCCTCGGTTACACGAAAAACGTGTTCTAATCAGACGTAAATTTAAAACTTTTCATTATTCTCAACTTTAATCTTTAAGTCAACATCTCTCTTAAACATTCTTAATTTTTAATCTTAAAATCTAAATCTCTTCTTCTTCTCATATATTCGGAGAAAGAGCTTCTCATTAAATAAATTCAGATTATAATTTCAAACTATCTTCTTCTTCTTCTTCTCTTATAAACAGGAAAGAAGGGGCTTTAATATTGTATTTTAGTAATTTATATAAATTAAATTTTATATTTAATATTTTTATAATCTAGTATTTCCATATTTACAGTAGTTATTTTCGTTTCCTCTTCACATCAGCGTCTCGATCTGGTATTATTATTAGATTAGATTAGTTTCCACAACATTCTTCGTGGAACAACAAAGAAGAACATTACGTATCCTATTTATCAATTCATTGAACGTCAACATTGTACAAAACTTTTATCGTTAAATGAATAATAATTGTTGCTGCTGGTAGAGCAGAATTGGACATTGTTTAGTAGGGCCTAACGCGAGCCACACCCCGGCGTAAGTCAGAAAATGAGCTGAAATGAGTACCATCAGAACTCATATCCGTCATCAACTTTCCCAAACTTAGTTTTTCACTCAATTATTTAATTCTGTAAGAAAAGAAGTATCAGGGCATTCTGCGCATGTTTCTGCTCTTATCTGAACAAAAGTCTTGCTTAAAAACTTCATTTGTTTTCCGATTTTGATGAGCACCGTTCTTTGATCACTTGTAATATTGACAAATTTCTCTCGTATATAGTAAACATTTTTAGATGGACATCTCACTTCTTTCGAATAATCAGGCCTTTAGCAATATTACAGGACAGTAGTAAACTGAATACTTTTTCTACTCACTAAAATCAATGAACTCGAGTTTGACGATAATGTTGGTTTTGAGGAAGGATGAGAGAACTCACGCCGTCGAGAAAATACAAAAAATGGTTAAAACTACTAGTAATACCGATATTTAGAAACATTCCACATTCAGTTGGTTCGTGGAAGACACGTTGTTTTTGATATCGTTAATAAAGTTGTCAGTCATATTTTTTTTCATGTTTGCTGCTTCATTCATTTAAAAACGTCTCCTGTCATTTTTGACTCATGCTGACTAAAACTATCCCGTATACCTTGATGATAAGAGTCAATGTTAGTCACTTAACTTTTGTTTTAATGCAAAAAAATTATCAACAAAAAATACCTTGCTGTCACGAAAAGTAACAGAACATGCAATTTCCTATCCTGAGAGAAAAAAAAACATGTCAACATCATCATAGAACGTCTGATTTTTTTGAAATATTAACAACTGAGTAAAGACGAGAACTACAGTAAGACAAAAAAAGTCTGCGACTTTTTAATTATATGAACTATATCAGTAGCTTTAAAATTACATAAAAAATGATATCTTTTTCTCCTTGACTTATCAGAGACTCTAGTAAGTTGCGGGCCATTCCTTCTATGAGCCATGTGTGTGTAATACACGTTTTCTCTCTTATTGTTTTTTCTTCGAAATATTGCTTGTCTTAAGCGATGGTATTCATTAGAAACTATTATTTGCAGATTGGTTGCTATTTAGAATGAAATCTACCACACATGATTCAATTGAGCAACACTACACTAGATATCGTCGAAAAATGATAATTTTCGTTGTGTTTTTGGGAACTGCATTCGTCATGTTATGTGCGTCAATCGGCTTATGGTTTAGTTGGAAAAGCACGCAAAAGAATTGTTATGATTCATGTATGACTTACGGTTTCGTACAATTTATTAGTGGAATTATTACAACAATTATCGGAGGAATATGTTTAATTTCTGCTCTAATCATCGGAACTTGTCTTTTATGCCAAAGACAGCGGCATGCATCACTTATCTATAAATAGAAATCGTCGGTAATGCATAGAAACTTTTTAACAAATAGCTAAATCGAAGTGGTCTATAACGAATAAAAGCTTAAAGATTTTCTGCCAAATTGTTTGGATTTTATTTGAAAAATAGATGTCCGTAAGGCACAAAGAAAAACTCTTCGTCTTCTGGCAAGATTTAAAGAAGATTCCGGCTAATTATTTCAATAAAAGCAATGTTTGTAAATCTGAGTTATTGACAAACAATACGGTAAAGTATAGAGATCACTTTCGTTGAAACAATAATCTCAAGTTTAAATTGAAATCTCACAGTCGAAGAAAACATTTCAAGGTCTAGTTTAAATTCACACATATACAATTAAGTGCTTTACATGAAGTGTTTAAAAATAAAGTTAAAATATTTTGTGTAACCTAATTTATAAAAAGGACGATAGAAAAAATTCGGCGAAAATCACCGAAAAGCTGCCATCTATTATTACGTGTATAGACCGCCATTTGTTAACATTACTTCAACCAACACGTTAGTCCATTTTGTAAAGAATTTTATTTTCTTTCCGATGAAGAACATGGTTTTGAGAATTATAGATAACAGTAAGTTGTTTGGAAAATTTAAGTTAACAAGCAATTAAAAAATATTAAGCTTGACTAATGTCTGTTGTATAACAATCTATTATACTTCAGTTTGAAGTAATTGATTTACTTCCTCTTTTAATATGTTTTTTATTCACACACGTTGCAGAGAATACAAAATAAGAAAGAGGAATTTTGTCAGCAGGATAATCACAATAGTAATTACCATCGCGAGAGAATTCTCCCGTCAAAAACCTATCTCTGAAAATGTAAGTCCGGTCTTGATCAAACTTCTAGGAGATGCTGACCTTGTGAAAGTATGGTGACGAAACTTTTTGTTTGACTTCATCCCGCATGGCTTGTGAGACACCGCCACAAGAGTGATCAAAATGGGGCTATTTGTAGCTGCAAAGTTTCTCAGTAACGAAAGTTCCGGAGAGCTCGGGCTAGTCGTAACTTGGTGAAAACCCATGCTGGAGGATAATAGAGCCTTATACTTGATATATTACTTTTCAAACTAATGGTCAGCGTCAAAAGTCTAAAATTCGAAAACGTCTCATCAGCCTGCATAAAGATATTTTTCTACCCACAAACGTAGACCGAATATCAAAACTCGGGTTCTGTTATCTGATAGTCACATGTGTCAGCTTCAGTTTAAGACCTTCCCGAACTCTCTGCGATATTTCGTTACCAAGAAAAATCTGCGAGCTACGAAATGATGTTAAGTTGAAAGTCGCTTTCGAGATATGATCTGAAATCTGAGTACTCATTGCTTATCGGTGCAAAGTTTTAGAAAATGACCTAACAATCGACCGGTCCAGTCTAGAGAGCAGATTTTCATTTTATTTACATAAAATAAGCTAGAATAGTTACATATTAAAAAACATTCGGGCTTATAACAAGGAAGTATACACCTAGCGAGAAAAGGAACCCAGGCGAACATTTTTTGTAAGTTAACGCACCTATAAACGCGTTAGTTGACACACCTGACGTGTTTTTACGCGTTTTAGCAGCCACTGAACGCGTCAGTTAAAGTACAACGCCCCCAAATGCAGCAAAATTTAACACAGGATAATGCATTTGAGCAGCAGTAACGCTTAGAAACGCGACAGACTTTGGCGCGTTTAAATGCGTTTAGCAGGACGATTTTTCGATAAACTGACGCGTTTGGAAACGTCAACTTTTGTTGCGTTTAAGCGATTTAGAAACGAACGCATCGAACCACGTTGAAGGTATCAGTTGATGCGTTTTTCCGGCGTTGAAGGATTTTGTACGCGTTCGGATGTGTTACAAACTGACGCGTTTCAACGCACTGCTAATTAATGCATTTTGAAGCAAAGTTTTTCAACGTTTAACGCAACTTAACACGTTAGATCATAACGCAGATAAACGCCTTTCGAGATTGTCGCAGTGAAACGTATTCTAGATATAAACAAACGCGTTTAGCTGCGGTAAATTCCGCGTTATTTTATTAAATGAATAGCAACACGCTTCTTCTCAAAAGTTTCGTTCGCCCAACGTGTTTTGCTATGATCAAAAGTTGGAGGCAGAAAAGTTAACGACACAAAGCGGCTCTTTAAGTAAAGAAACTCTACATCTCCATCTCTCACTAACAGTTGAACATAAAACTCAAGCTGGGGTCGTGCATCAATGACGTCTGGAAAAAAGAACCGGGACCGAAAGGCGATGCCTAGGAGTTTCTTATTATTTAATTATTTTATAAAATCTATTTCCACTTTTAAGAATGGTAAAAATTTTCACAGATCTTACAAAGAACGTATTTCCCTTTTCTCTCTAAAATTTGATCTTTCTTTTCTTCCCTTGTCATTCTTCTCTGATCTGATCGTTGCTCTTCTAATATCATTATATTTTCATCATACGTTCATCCGATCGTAGCTTTGGCAATGGTTCTCCTTGAAATGTTTCTCCTTGAATAAGACTTTGTGCTGGTTTGTCACAGGTCAATGCAATCAAATATATTGAAAGAGGCACACAAGTGCCATTGTAGGAGGCAAGAGAATATGGTGTTGGTTGTTCCAATGTTTTCGATTTACTACTAATTCTAGAAATTATTTCACATATTTGTTGTTTGTCTGACTTTTTCTTACCAGGCCAAATCGCTCCGACGATAACATTTTTCATTTGAAATCTGTGACGTCGTTTTATTTCATTTACAATTAGGCAAAAAACTCACAAAGATTTGTTTAGACGTAGAAATTTGAAACCATTCATGAGAAGTGTAATAAAATGTCCATTTTGATACCAGTCACCGTCAGAGATATCTTTTATTACTGTTGGTCTGGTTGCAATTTCACTTGCGGGAGAACCAGAGAGAGATAAAGATAGTGGAGAAATAAATATTTTTTTGTCATTAGAGCTTCTGTTAGTTGCTGTTTTGAAATTCGAAGGTGATGCAGTTCAGCAAAAAACATGTAACTCCGTTTCAAAGAAATAAGTCCGTTACGTTTTTTGCTTTGCATTGGTAACACCGTGTTAGAGTATGTTAAGAAACATGTCCATTTCGGTTTAACTTTAACTACAACCTTGGAATGGAGGTCGCACATAAATAACCTTTATATCAGTTTGTCACATATTGTAAGATCGATAAAGTTTTTGAGTAGGCACGTTTCTCGACAAACGCTTGAATCTGTGTATTACGCGTTCGTGTTGAGTATTCTCAACTATGGAACCGTTATTTATGGCGGTACTGAGTTACGTAATATCTATTGCTTAAGACAAATTCAATATCAGGCCGCTTTAGCTGTCTCGCTGAAGTTAAGAGGCCGGGCTCTATTGAAAAATTTCTTTATTCGGGAGGGTATTCACGCATGGAATCTTCTACCTATTGATATACATTCAATACATAAATTAACTGATTTCAAACTTAGATTATACAATATATTCCGTTCTTTCGTTTACCGTTAATGCATGATCGGCGGTTGGAAATCCATCACACGCGATGTAGAGTTGGTAATCCCCAACTAAATTACTATCTTTTCACCAGAGGTGGGTTAGAAAAGTCACGTGGCTTTAGCAGAGAGACTACTAAACACCTTCGTGGACTGTGCTCTTTATGACAAGTCTCGTAATCTAATGTTTGAGGAGCTGCGTATTGTCCTTAAAAATAATCATATTACGCTGGAGTCTATATTTTTGAAACATGAATCTATCCTAGTACTGCCCAAGCAGAACCTAACACGAATGTACACAGCCGTCATCCAGTTTATTGATGTCACCGAAGGATTCAATCAGCCATGATGTACTAAGTCTCCATGAGCGGGATGTCGCATGGATAGAGCGGGTCTTACAAGTGGATTCCAGTTTCTCTCACACTACTACAATGTCTCTTCTCTATATACTCATTTTGTTCCGTAGTGTTCATGTAGAATCTGGCATAGAATGGGTTATCCCGATTTGTCGTATATGTGTTTCTTTTCTTGTTGTTGTACTTTTATTACTATTATTTCGTGAATAAAAAATGTTTAAAAACAATAACAAAAAAAAACTAGATAGTGGGCGGTAAATAGTCTTATTAACAAAATCAAACTGGATATTCAATTTAGAGATATCATCCAGATTCAATAAATGTGATCTAGATGTGGCAGACGATAAACATAACCGGATACACATTTCTTGTTATACACCACGATTACCAGGTCAAAAACTTGAGTTTTTACTGTTTCTCTTGCTACAGCTGATATCAAATCGACTTCAGTAATTTCATTTCAATTTAACTCTTTACGTGAGTATCATTCATCCAATCAATCGACATCCAGTGTGTATTTTTACTTTAGTTTCGATTTGTGCATCTTACCTACTACTATCAATTTGCTGCCATATAGCGAAAGTTCATTAAAAATACTTGGTCGATATCATTAGCGCAAAATCGACTTTTTATACGGGGAACAGAATCTGTCCAAATTTTTTTTCTGAAGAGCTTATT